CTAGCTTCTGCATGTCATTTTTAACAAAACAAAACGTCTATAAATTTTTCTCAAAGAAACGCTTCGCAGATATGGACTGCAGATTTGGAACCAGCATTTCAAACTTTAACAATATTTGAAAATACCAACTTGTTGATTATCCTTTCTTTGTAAGAACCCAAGATTCACGTACTGTTTGTTGTAAGAAGAGTTTGCACTTTCACTCAAACCTTCGTGCTCTATGATTAGAGGACGAGAAAATAATTTCAACAACATTGTTACAGCTGGTCGAACTGAGCTATGAACCTTATTACTATGATTCGCAGACTGAAGAAACTATTTGCTTGAGAATGAGGGAGACTTCTTAAGTATAAAAAAATCATAATTTGGTTCTTGGAGGCTCCGAAACCGAAATCTTGTAAGAATTCCTGGAAGTATTGTGTATAATATTATGTACGAAAAGTAATATATTTGAGTTAACTTGATTGTGAGAACGTATGCCTTAGAAAAAAGCGGACTTTCTAGGTAAAATTGGCACTTTATCTTTTAGCGGTCCGAAAAATAACAGATGAAAAAATAAGTGAAGGAAATCAGAACTGATTCAATCACCTTTCAGACATTGTTATTTCTACTGTATACAGTTTAGTTATCTCCGAAAAAACGTTGGTAGACTTGAACGCGATTCTCAAAGATCATGTTTTCCAGGTGATCCTTGATACTTATGGAAAATCATTACGGTAATGATGAAAAGGTCAACTGCACATGACTATGTTTACTATAAACAACGACCCTGAGCAGGTTCTTTCCACCTTGAAACGGGCTGTTAAAAGCAGCCGAATGCAGTTCAGTTCAATAGCGTATGCCTTCCTGTTTACTAGTGCACAAATGATTTGCAATAAAATCTTTGAAATAAAATTTTTCTAACATTTCCTTCCAGATATGAAATTCTTCTTCGCCATCTCGCTGCTACTCGCTATTATCTACTGCATAAGCGCCCAAATAAGCGCGGAACATAGTAAAGGCGCTCAGATGGGTCTAGAACACGCTGAATCCGGCGATTCCAGCCAAGGATCGCGTAGAGAAGACCGCGGCGTTCTCTCAGGAGCTGCAAAAGGAGCAACTGCTGGAGCTCTGATTGGTGCAATCAGTAAAGGCAAATAAAGTAATTTCATTAAACGCAAGCTGTGTATAAAACCCATACCCTTGTCATTTTTTTATATTGTTATTGTTTCCAAAGTATGACTTATTGTAAATATTAATAAACCTTGCACTATCAGTGTAATTTGCAGTTATGAGTCCTAAAAGTTAGCACTGCGTGATAGGTAAAGTTAAAAGGTGAACTACTTAGATTTATTCAAGAAAAACTAACATCTAATTTTCACTGTAATACAATGCTCAAAATTATTTGTGCTTAATAAGATTATTAGGCGTGCAGGCGATCCAAAACTTCCAAAAATGCAAGACGTTTCGTTGGGTGAGTTTGAATTTGGCTTAACAGCGGAACAGTTGAGGCATGGCAATATCTAAAAAAAGCCATTTGGCAACAACTAACACTAATTGAGGTTTATTTGCACTCCTCCTGTGCCACGTGTTCAAGAATAAGCTTTTGTTAAACTATCCTACTATAACTTGGTCGTATTTGATCCAAAGTAAGTCTTTATGAGGGTCAGGTAAAAATCA